TGGAGGGGGCTGAAAACTATTTTTAGTAGTTATTAGGATGCTTGTGTTGTAGGTCTTTTGAAACTTAAGTAATGTGTACTTGTTTGAAGATGTGTTAAGAACTTGAAAACTTTGCATGTAATGCTTGTGTTGTAGGTCTTTTGAAACTTAACTCATGCCTGTGTTTTAGGTCTTTATTTGTCTTGAAACTTAGTATGATGGTTGTGTTAAGAACTTTAAAACTTTGCATGTAATGGTGTGTATGCACATTTTGGTAATGAATTAACATGTTTTGTGTAATACCCTTCACAGATCAATTAATAACATTGTACATTTCAATTGCAAATGAAAACATTCAAGAAATTGAACAATCAACTATAACAAACTACATTCTATTATCATTACTATTACCACTCCATTACACATTAATCTGATACATAAACCAAATACAACAACACCAACTCCAAAACCCCCTACATAAACTGAAAGCTAAAAAATCCCTACTCGATTAAAATAATAATAAAAAAACCCCTGCAATGGTTACAAACCAAAAACCAAAACTCCATTACCATCCAAACTTTCACAAGATACTTAGAGATTAAAATAAAACCAAAAAAAGAACACCCATGAACAAAACAACATCAATCGGTAGTTACACAATTCTGCACTCACAATGGCAACCCTCTCTTCCAATCGGTTCATTGATCTTATCAGACCTGGAATCACCACCAATGCCCTAGCACACATAGGAGGATCAGACCATCGAAGGAACCCACATCTTGTACAGTTCCAAAATTGTCTTCCAGGGTTACGATCCGTCCATGAAGTGATCTTCACTGCTTCATTCCCACATCTGCAAGTCACCATCTTTGAATCAGAAGCGATTGGATGTCGTGAAGGGTGCAACGGTCGAGCAACAGTGGAAGGGAGAAGAGAGGAGATGACGACTGATAAAGGTAAAGGGTTTGCCCAAAAATCGGACATGCAATGTCTTTTAAAGAGAGAAGGTTACAACTAAAATGACGAAATTACCCCAGCAACATTTTATTAAAAAATGAGTTAACGATGAAATGGTAACGGAGTGAGCCGGAAGAACCAAATGTTAAAAGTTTTGAAACCACAGGAACTATCTGTGAGGTTTTTTGAACTTAGGGATTAAACTTGATATTTCTGGAAACCACAGGGACCATTTTTGAAGTTTTGTCATTTTTATATGTTGGACTTTTGTAGTCATTAGTATAATTGTGGATATATACGGCCTACATACTCTCCTTTGAGTCCTAACACTAACACCAAGGTGAGAGAGTGTGTGTAAAAGTGAGGACCACACGAGTGATCAGAAGCTATCAAAAGGGAATCTCTGGCATTAGCGTCGTCACCATCGTCATCGTTTTCATTCTCTCGAGAAAAAGAAAACAGAAATACAACTGGAGATTTCGTTCTAGATTGAAGAACTGACGTACGAGCGGAATCATATGAAGAATGAGGAATGGAAGAAGCTAGTAAGGAATTAGCGAGGTATAGCATTCTGAGTTGGTGTGGTTGTGGTAATGGAGGTTACAAAGGCAGGAGTCAGAACTAGAGCTCGAGCTATGGCGGTGGTGGCGGAGGAGACGGAGGATAATTCGGTAGCAGTGAAGAGGAGAAAGGTCGGTAATGAGAAATCGAGGTCGCCGTCGTTAACATCTGAACAAACTAAACCTCGGTGTGATATTAATTACGTTAAATCGGCACATGAGGAGGAGGATCCAAGCGATTCCTTGAATGCCTCCGCGAACCTTAAATCCGGTGGTGTTCCGGCGTCTTGTTGCTCTAGCACTGGATCAATGGAGAAAGTGAAAGTTGCGGATCTGGAGGTAATTAATGTTTGAACACTCTTTTCTATTCTTTATATGATTCATCTTACGTCTATCATCATTGTTATTTAATTTTACACAGTTTTAATGGTTTTTCGGTTTCGAATTTGCAGAAGAGTTTTGGAACTGAAACATCCGCCAGACATAAATTAAACGGAAGCGAAAGGTTTTCAACTAATGCCATTTCAATTAGCTCATTTATGTATACATGTTTTAACTCTTTAATTTCTTCTCTCCTCTATCCAAGCGATCTCCTTCTTCTTTTAACTTGATGGCCGGTTCTTTCAGCACACCTAAGAAGGAGCTCAAGGCGGAATCAGGCGAACTGGAATCATGTACAGCAAAGCCGTCACCGGAAATGGTTAATCCTTGCCGTACAGTCTTGTCGCCGGAGAAGATGCCACCTGAAGCGGAACTTGAAGCCTTCTTTACGGCTGCAGAGGAAGACCTCAACAAACGGTTTAAAGAGAAGTGAGTAATTCATTTAGCTTCTTTCATTGCTTGTGTAGGAATCTTCTAAGAAAAACTAACGTATAGTAGCTGATGAATAACATTAATTAATGGTGCTATATATCATTCGCAGGTATAATTATGACATTGTAAATGATATTCCTTTAAAAGGTCGATACGATTGGGTTGAACTAACGCCAGGAAAATGAGGATTAAGATGATCGATCGATGAAGAATAAATTAATGAGCATTTTTGTTTTGATGAACTATTTGAAGCTTTTCTGGCTACCAACAGCAGCTAACCCTAAACGAGGAAGAACGACGCTGTAAAAAAGTATGCCGTAGTGTTGTGTACTTTTTAAATCGTTGTTATATAATTCAAATATAGTAATGTTATTCGATTCCACCACTGGTAATTAACTTTGATTTTAATTAATTCCAATATTACTTTGTGATTGATTTTAACATGATCCATAGATAGATGATTATAGTTATGTTAAAAAAATGAAAATGTTTATGGAATGAAGATGGTGGTTTGGTAATTTGGTTGATGCCGAGCTCGGTGGGAGTTGGAATTAGGCGTTGGTGAAGAAGGTACAAGCAGCAGAAGAAGAAAACTGACGCCTTGCCGTGTAAGCTACGGACACGTGTTTGAATGCCGGAAAGCAAATACTGACTCCCATGTGGATCTTATCGAGAGAGAGTGTGTGTGTGTGTTTCTGCAGCCATGTCCAATGTCCAGGCCTTCTTTCTTCATCACTAAAGTACAACATGTAATCACAGGTGACTGGTTAAAAACCCTATAATTAATTCTGTCGAATGAATTTAATCCAAAGTATAATATTGGAATTTAGTATTTGAATAACAGCCTTAACTACCCATAGATTAGGACACATTACTATATTAGCAATGGATTCTATCGGATCGATGATTTTGAACAATTCGTGTTAATATCATAAAATCATCGACGAATTACACACATATCTTAACAATTTTGGTTTATTGAAATCTAAATGTTGTTCTTTTCGGTCAAACTTTCGCACAACAAAACATTCAAGGTCTTTGTTTTCTTACCAACTAATAGTCTAAAATACACACTCGACATTTGGTATGTGTATATGTATCGGAACCACCACTCCATACTCATTCTTGAGTATTTTTACGTGTGAATATACAAACATCCGAGAAACCTTAGATGCGGGGATATCATTTTTAGCATTTAAATACTAGTGTACAAGTTTAATTTACTTAAATTAATGTTTAATCGGGCTTCCCCTAAACAAATGCACACTATAACACTTTAAGAGACCGAATATAGTGTACCATATATAAACTACTAAGAATAAATGACTTGTCAAACACGCAAGTCCATCTCGCAAGCACTACGAAGGAATGTAACATCAGATGCTGGTCGCAGTTTGCGTTCTTTATGGATATTATTTGGTGTCAATGACATCCACTACAAGAAAAACGATTCTTAACGGCGACAAAAATCGCCGCTAAAAGTTAGCTCAGTCGCCGGTAAAAGAAATAGCGGTGACAAGTTGCCGCTATTGATCAAAATGTCGCCGTTAATAACATCGTCGCTGATAATATCTATTGTTGCCGCTAATAACCTTATCGCCGGTAATAATCTGTGTCGCCGGTAATAGTGTTGTTGTTAATGTTCGTTTTCATTTTTTAATAAGTCATTTTCGGGTGCAGAAAAACCAACATGTAACGACATTAAACAACGTAGAAAACATGAAAACATTAAATGCATAAAAAGATTACATAATGACATTCAATTAAGTACCAAAGTGTTATAAATTTATACAAATACCAAAATAAACAACAAAAATGTTGTAAAGTTATGTCATAACAAGTCTAACAAAACACAAAGTAATCCAACGAACCATCATCTCCACTCCCCTCGTTTCCTCTTTGATCATCAATTGGTGGTTTTCCCGAACGAAAAAAACGCATAAAGTTCCTCCTTACACGTCGGGTCGTTGAACATTACACGATGATTTTCCAACTACATAATAATTAACAACATATGTGAACTTATAAATTAACTATCAACACAAACAATAACTACTAAAGCACATTGTTATGTCATGCACTTAAATACAAGAAATAACAAAAGTACATTGCTATTTATTGCACTTGGTACATAAAGACAATTACCAAATCAACATGCATTAATTGATACCAAAATATTAGTGGTGAACATGGTGCGGTTTTGTATAAAACCGCAACTGCAATCACAAATTGCGGTTTTTTAAAGTCAAAAAACAAAAATTGCGGTTTTGATTCGGTTCGGTTTTGCGATTATTTCGGTGCGGTTTCGGTTTTTAACCACAAAATGAGGTGATGCGGTTTTTCGGTTAAAAAGGTGCGGTTTTTCATGTGCAAAAAAAAAAAATTTAGTCGACTTTCATTTATTTTTAGATTTTCATTGCAAATAAATCACAATTTTGGACCATTTTTATTCTTTCAAGCTGCATTTTATTATGTTATATTGAATTCATTTCATTCAAACAATTAACAATATGTCTAACACTTAAATAACCACCATTTATACACCAAAAACTAAACAATAAAAATCATAAGATGATAAAATTGATAAGTTTCCACAATGTCTAACTTCAACATACTTGTAACACCCGATTCCCGGTACGTATTCTAAATTTAAAAATTGTATGTTTTCTTCACTGGGACTCGGCGAGTTGGAGGCTCAACTCATCGAGTAGACTAGACTTTGGGCGCAGGTTTTAAAGTGACCTACTCGACGAGTCGGGAGCCCGACTCGACGAGTAGGACTGTGTGGATGAAACCTTAATATTTAGGGTTTGCACCCTATTTAAACACCTTATCTTGTCCCAACCCAACCTCCATCGCCCCTCCCAGTCCAGAAAAGCCCTAACTCGAAACCCTAATAATTTATTGAGTGTTCTTGAGCTTTTTGGTGCCATTTGTGTGTATTTGAAGTTTAAGAATGAGAAGGAAGCTTGAGAGACCAAGAGGAAGCAAGAAGATCCAGAGGTTTTGGCACATTTCAAGCTAATTTGAGGTATAAAGCTGAAACCTTGACCATTTATCTCTTAGATCTCTAGTTAGGGTTCATTTCTACCTTTTCTAAGCCTTAGGAGTGCCATATTCGGGGTTTTGTGATTATAAAGGGGTGTGACTTCAGATCTGGAACCATTAAGGGTTCCTATGGCATAAAGGTGCCAACTTTATTGCCATAAGAGCCCCATGCATCTTCTAGACTCCATTTTAGGACCATTTGAGCCAAATACCCCATGCATGAACGTCAAGTTTGTAACTTTACGTGTATTATGGACCCTAGGAGGCCAGATCTTTGTTTTGGATGTGTTAAACCCGACTGAATCAACTGTATGGACATGGACTGTGGGGGACTCGACGAGTTGTTCTTGGGACTCGACGAGTCGGGGTATGGTTCCCCAACCCTTTTTTGCGTGGATCGAACTGGTTGAGTCTAGAAGAGGACTCAACAAGATTGATGTGAAACTGGGCCTGGAAATCATGGAACTCGGCGAGTTCAAGAACAGAACTCGTCGAGTTCAAGGCAAGTCCCAACTGCATGATGACGTACTCGACGAGTTCATAAGGAACTCGGCGAGTCCATGGCTAAATATGCCATCTTGCATGAAGAAGGACTCGACGAGTTCAAGGATAAACTCGGCGAGTCAGTTGTTGAAGGTCCCGACTTTGCATGAAGTAGAACTCGACGAGTGCGTGCAAGACTCGGCGAGTAGGATCGAGGTCTTGGTGTTTTGAGGATTTAGGGACTCGGCGAGTTGCTGGGTCAACTCGACGAGTCGAGTCAACCAGACGTTGACTTTGACCTAGAGTTGACTTTGACCAAGGTGTTGACCTTGACTTTGGCTTTGACCTGAGTAACCCTTGTAGGGGTTGAGAGTATGTACTGGTAAATTAAGGAAGGTTGTTACGTGTAGGAATTGAGAGGAGTTGATCACGGCAGCAAGGACAGTTCAGACACTTCACGACATTAAAGTGAGTTACCTTCCAGTAGAAGTGGGTCTAAGGCCACAATGCCGGCCCACTGGTAGGAGTTGTTGTTAGATAATTGTCTTTATGATAATTATCTAGGTTTGCTACTGTCTGATATGTTTTACATGCTAGTATAATATGATGTTATGTGATAGTAGTAGTAAGGGAATAGTCCCCGATTATCGGTCGATAGGGCCGAAGGGGTAGTATAGTACCCAACCATGCTAGACAGTATGATTATGTTGATATCATGTGGTAGCAGTAGGGGGTGAAATAGTCCCCGTAACCGGTTCACATAAACCAGAGGGGTAGGTCGGACACCTCGGTATGTCTGACAGGGGTAGGTTAGGCACCCCGGTATGCCTAGCAGGGTAGGTCGGGCACCCACATATGTCTGACAATATGTTTATTGTATGGTATGTGGTATGATGGGGGAACTCACTAAGCTTCGTGCTTACAGTTTTTAGTTTTGTTTCAGG